AGCGCTAGCATCAGCAAGAAGCGTGAGGTAGAAGGTAGCCCGATCACGAACCTAAATCCATTCCGAAACAATAAACAGTATCAATGTTTTGTAATTGTGTGTAAGTACCCTACCTCGTCATCACTATCCAGCAAGCACCTCTTCAGCAATACTTGAATTGAAGGACGAAGCTCTGCACACTGCGCACCGAATTTCGCTAGCGCTGTAACAGCCGCCGCGCGTACCTGAGAAGCACTCAGCTGCTTTCGTAAACTCGTAAACTGTTAGCGAACCTTAGTGCTCTCTAAGATGACGCGATTGTAAATGAATCGGATATAACTCGAGGGATTTGGCGTCTTCGGAGCTTCTCTGCCAAGAAGATGCAATACCCGAGTAGCTAAGCTATCGTGTTCGCAATCCTCGATGAATTCACAAAGATGGGCGAGACCTTAAATGATGACGTCAGCAGAGTTTACGACGAAGTCAACCGTATATACCCTAATGAGACCTTACACTGAATACACCGAATACTGAATTCAAATCCGCAGTATGCGTGGATACCAAAACCACACGGTGTACTTACCAGCCGTCTTTGCATCCGGATTTTCTTCTACGATGGCAATGATTGTCTCAACAATTGCTTTCTTGTATTCGTATCCGCCATCATTCCTGCAAAATCGTGATAATCATGCAGATAAATACAGTGAAGAAGTTCCATACCTCAGCATATTGGCGAGGAAAGGCATCATGACTGCATGTTTTCTTGGATAACGGGCACACAGAGAACGGATGGCGTCGACAACAACAATCTGAAAAATTCAATGTCTCACCTACAGGCGTTAGCTCGGAAACTAAAGACATTTGAACAACTAAAAACGAAGCCTACTTTGAATTCATCACTAATCTCCGATACGAAAGAGCTAATCTGCTTCATCAAACGTTCCACACTGCTTTCAGCACCTGTTTTCAACAACGTCGTGATAGCAAGTGTTGCGATCGACCTGATTTGATGCACAATGAATAATATGCAGCAAAAGATCCTCACTATGAATAAAAATTTCCTTCGGAAAAAAAGGCGAACCTGTTTGAATCGGTGATCAGCTTCTCCAAGTCAACATTGCAGCTCATCAC